TAATTTATATATAAGAGCTAAGTTGAACTGTGACTGCAATCATGTCAATTATTATAACTTCTTTGGGTTAGATTAAGTAGGAGTGGTGTCCTGCACACCAAAGCCAACTTGATCATACAATTTTTAAATTTTGTTTTTTGGGAGTTGAAAAGCATTGACAGCCATAATGTGAGAGTTTAACTCACTAAAACTGTGTCTTAGTAATGAACGGTGAAGATTTCCAGCGTTGATCCGGAGCGCAGTATGTGAAGCATCCAGTAACTAGGTCAGAGAGTTTAGATAGAGTGGGTTAAGTACTCAGAAGTCTATATTTATCTAAGCCAGAAAGCATGTGTGTGGTGTATGAGACAGAAATGTGAGTTGAGTGCGTGCGGTTCTGAACAAGCGCAGAAGGCAGGTTATTTGTGGGCACTGTGTGAGGCGTCATGCAAACCATGATTACTGAGTGGGTTGATGGAAACATTTAAATGATTATAATTGAAATATAAAATAATGTATTCGGGGGTTTGTAACGCACGGTTAGTAAGAAGTCGGAGAAAAGGGTGCTAGGAGTATGACGTCGGAGGTGGGTTATACAGTAGGGTGAGCTTACGCCAGTTAAGAACGTAAGGCAATGAATATTGCGAAAATATTGGAGCAATGTGGATGTATGAACTGTGGATCACTGTTGTTGTAGATTTTACTTCTTCTTTTATATAATTTTAAGTAACTTCGTTTAAATGATATGCTAATCAGTTCAGTTTTCTATGTGTGTCAGATGGGATGGGACATATCCAGAAAACGTGCAGAGAAAAACGATAAAGCATCAAAGTTGAATTGTTTGTACTGTAAAAAATTGGTCAACCTCGTTTTAGATTATGGACCACAAGTCATTTGATTACTCATACTGTATGAAAAAATAGAAGAAAACGTTAGAACCAACTGAATTTTGGTTTTCGACGTAAGTGTAAGAGAACTCCTATATCAGCTGATATAAGTATTGAGCAATTGCATAGCATTTCTTTGCGTGTGAAGTATTTAGTGAACGAACTAAGCTTGTGTTGTTTGTGGCTTTTATGCTGTGTTGTGTTTGTGTGTTCTCACCCTCTCTTACAATTAATGACTTTTGCTGCCTTCTGTCATTTTTAGTTGCTATATTCACACTACGTCTTTGATAATTAATTCAATCTTAACATTTATGTATAGTAAATGTTGTGAATTAGCTTTAAATTTCACAATGAAACTCCTTAAATGACAAATAAATACTTGAGTATTATTTGCTAATTGAAATAATTGAATTAGAATTCCTTAAATAATTATATTTATTTTTCACTCCAATTTATCTGATTCCATTTTAATCAAATTAACTTCGGCAACGAACACCTTATTGAACCACTTAAGTGATTTGCAGTCATTGATAAACACATTATAAAAATTAATAAATTGACCTTAAATAATGTGATTTAAATTAACATATTTTTTGAATGACTTAATTGCTTAACGCCTTCATTCAATAAATAAATTAAATTAAGTTGAAATGAAGTTTTAAAAAACCATAAATTTCAAACTTCATTATTACATACTGAAAAGCAAACAAAAATTAAAAATTCCTTTTTTGCAACAACAAAACAAACGCAGTTAACTTTTTAAATATTGCCATGAGAATAACTCATTTAGAAAAGTAAACAAAAGTCCAGAAAATAAAATGCAAAAACAAAAATAATTTATTTAGAAAATACAACAACAATTGTTTAGTTTAACATTGATTATAAAGCAAAAAAGAGTCTTGTAGGAAATAGGTAAAATGTGCTACTGCAGCATATTGGAACAATAAGGTAAGAGGACAACTAAAACTGGAATGTGCCGTAGTAGCAACAACAACAACAACAGTAATAATAAGAGCAACTTTTTTAGTTAGTGTCATACGCAACAAGCAATAAACAACAACACAAATCAAAAATAAATAAAAATATGCAAACAAAAAACAAAACAAAAAAAAAAAAAATAAGAAATTTTATGCACAATTCGTTTTGTGTTCAGTAGAAACGAATATGTCGGCAAGTATACTTCTTTCTACTTCGTAATGTGTGTAAACAAGTGCAAAACTATAACAAAAAATAATATATAAAAGTAGAAATAATAAAAAATTTCAAATATTAAAAAAATATATACTATATACTTGTATATTTAAGAATAAATTTTGAGTGTAATTTATCCTGAGGACACGAGTTCAACAGACACTTTAGGCTCTGGCACAAGTGCAAGAGTGGGGTGCAAGCTACGGGCTGTAAGTGGGGTGCGTGTACACGTACTTGCACTTCATCGCTTGTGCTCTGCAACATTCTCTGCTTTGCTGTACGTATTGTTGTTATTGTTATTCTTTCGCTTGCTTTACTGCTGCAAGCATCCAAAGTGCATTGTTTTATTTTTATATTTTGGCACAACTGTTTTTTAAGATAAACTAAATTAAAATATTTTGCCCCGGTTGTTTTTTTTTTGTTTTTTTTTTGAGACAAAAAATTTTTACATTTTGTTTTTGTTTATATAGTTTTGTTTCACTTTTTAAGTGTAATTTATTGTTTCTGTATATACAATGCATTTTTTGTTTTTTATTTTTTTTTGAGTTATTTTCCAAATGAATATGTTTTGGCAGTGACATTTTAACAATCAAATTAAATAAATGAAATTAATTGAAATAAAAACGTAGAAAATGGAAAAGGACGAAATAAACAAAATGGCATTGAAAAGCAGTGTTGCCTTAAATACTAAAATGAAAATGAAATGGAAATGGAAGTCGAAATTGTTTAGTGACATACAATTTTAATGTTTGGGACTAAATTGTGTTTCAGAAATGCTAAGTGAGTTGAGAATGTGAAGTAAAAACTGTTTATAAAATGGAAGAAATATGGTAAGTACTATTTCTATTCTTCTTAAAAGTATTTATTATTTTTTTAAAATATTTATAATTTTTTTTAAATTTTTATTTTATTTGAATATATTTATTATTTTTCAAAAATATTTACAATTTTTTAAAAATATTAATAATTTTTTTAAAATTTTTATTTTATTTGAATATTTTTATTATTTTTCACAAATATATATTATATTTGAATACATTTAATATTTTTTTAAAAATATTTACAAATTTTTAATATACATATTAAGATATGTACATAATACATACATATTTTATATAAATATATTTAATATTTATTAAACATTTTTTAATATACGTATTAGCACATACACATAATACATATTTCATTTGAATATATTTATTATTTTTAAATAGAATATTGCAAATTGACATATAATAAGACCGCAAATTTGAATTTGAAAGTACTGCACTTTATATTTTACTTATACTTCTCAAATATTGAATTTTATTGAAGAAGTATTTATCTCATTTTATCACTTGAAAATTTTATTGTTTACATTACTTTAACTTAACTACACTCAGAAAAATGATTGGATTCACATCTTGTTTACCACATCAGGTCAATTAATTAATATAATAATTAATATGTGGTTAAAGCATATTTTTTTGAGTGCAGCAAGCCAAACAATAAAATGAAATTGAATTTAAGATATGTATTCGAGTTATCAAAAGTCTTATTATCAATTCTTTATTTTAAATTAATTATTAAGCATTTATAAACATCTTCACTCTAAAATATAATTTGATTGATTTAACCAGATTTAAACTAAATCTCTGGTCAAAATATTTTTACTCGACGGATTATTTTGGTTCAATCATACCACATGTTGTTTTATATATTTTCAGGTGAATTTAACTAGAAGGTGGTTAAAGCATATTTTTCTAAGTGTACCATGCTTGCACCATTCTTATTATTATAAATTTATTTTTTATTCAATTTCTTTAATAATATCTGGAACTGCTACATAATTATAAATTTAACTAAAGCAAATATTTTTATTATTAATTATTATAAGAGATAATGGCACAGTGGATCCTATTAAAAGATCTCGTACTTGTATGGGTATAAAAAGAAAAAAAATCCACTTAGTACTGAGAACATATTCATAATCTGATTTTCATTACTTTAATACATAATATTGTGGTTCTTATAAGTAATACGAACTGGGGGACGTTCAAGTAAGAAATAAATATACTAACAGCATCAAATTATCTTTTATCTATTTAACATTCGCGACAACTTCACTGATATTTAACATTCATTCAAAAAGTATGCAATACTTTTGTATATTCTCATATTATGAAAGACACATTTTTGAGATCCTCTGAGGAAAATGTCTTCGCTTTTAGGAATATATTTTCGGATCAAAATACAAATACATATTTGAATGATATTGATATTGATAGAAAAAACGATAATATTCTTATATGTGGATTATTGTCGAATATTATTATTATTGGTAGCATTATCATTAAATGTTGCTAGTCAATGTTGCAAGTAAATGTTGCAGTAAACGTTGCTGTCAAATATATTATAATCTAAATAATTATTACTGTTTTATATTATTTATCCAATTTTCAGCCTAACAAATGTGTTAGGTAATTTATAAGATGTATTCTAAGGTTTTACTTTAGTCTATTATTCCATTGTGTTATCTAATAATACTTGAGAAGAATAAAACCATTTCGAATTTTTCAAAAAACCTGAGACGCTGTTCCTCGCTGTAGGTGTAAGAATCGTATCAGGTAAAATTTAATCTTCAATTAAATATCATCCAGTTTTTCCTAAAAGTTCTTAATTAACTTTAACCAAAACATAACTTCTTATCGGTTTTTGTAACCAATAGAATGGGCCCTCTAGTTTTATATACGTATATGCTAACTATAAGTATGTACGATACTAACCCTAATTTAGTATCCTGTTTTACTTTCACAAGATTCTATCCATGTTTTCATTTAAAACTTTATTATTGATTTAAAGTTGTGAATAATTTCACTTTAAAAACTAAATAAATAAAATATTTTCACTTTTTTATAAATTACATTTTATTTATTAATTTTTTTATAAATTACGTTACTTACATTTCGTTATTTAATGAAACAATGTTTATGTTTATATCAAAATGAGAATGTCTTAAATGTGTTTTAATGTTAATTTGTGCAAATATTCTTCCTTCGTCGTACGTCCTTCTTCATTCGCAATAGCGAAATGTGCGCTTAATTAATATACATACGCAAATATATACAATTGTACAGAACCATTATATATCGGGAAGCATTAAAAATGACATGAGCTAATTATGGCAACCTTAAAATAAGAGCCTAATTACATTTACGAGATGAGGCATGAGAGGCGCTTATGCAATAAATATTCCTTAGGTGTGGAGGATGAGCTTACGACTACGAATGCACGACCGCTCCTGGGCGGGTGCAGTTATTAATGTAAAAGCATTTCTATTAGTTTCCCTAATTATAATACAGCAAAAGTTTTAAATAAATTATACATAATAATTTTTAAATAACTAGAATCGGTTGTGTTCGTAGTGAACAAGCGACGACTTGGTTTGCGGCAGTTAACCAATGCCATTGTTCGGTTTTGTTTTCGTTTGTTTTTTTTTTTTTGGTTTAATGTTTAGCATCGTCATTGTCTTGCTCTTCATCAACCTCTGCTGCTACAATGGGTTTGATTTCCTCGATTTTTGCCTTCACCTCATCATCTGCTGCCACCTTGACTTCAACTTTACTGGACTCAGCTATTGCAGGCTCATTGTCATCCTCATCAGTTGCTGCAATTCCGGCATCCTCGTGTACGTCAATGTCGGAACGGCTTTGTATGTTATAAAGATGGTTCGAGGCTTGCGGTTGTCCTTCCTGTTGCTGCTGTTGTAATTTCTCCTTTGGTTGTTCTATAGCTGTGAGTATGGACTGCAGCAAGCCTTGTGATAAAATTTCCTCATGATTGGCATTTTGTTCGGGATTGTTCGATTGACTAGCATCGCCGCCGAACTGTAATTGGTAAGTTGTTTGTGATGCTTGCGGCTGTGAGTTTACTTGGTCTGGTGTGATTTGTATGGACTGGGATTTCTGTGCAGATATGACATTCAAGCCATCTAAACCGGGTAGGTTTTGTGGATCTGTGCCATCGGGTAAAGCGGTGACTGTTGACTTTTGAGAAGCGTATCCAGTGTGATCGATATCATTGCCTGATGCCGGTGGTCCATAGCTATCAGAAGGTCCTTCAATGAACTGCGTGTGCTGCTCTGCAACTGGTATGCTCTGAGAGATTGCATTGTAGGCATTGGCTGAACTGCTGGAGACGCTACCGGCAAACTGTTGTTGTTGTTGTAATTGATAGCTGGCACCGACTAGATTGGGACCTTGTCCACAATCATGTACCTGATTGAAACGTGCTTCTTGTTGGAGTGGCAAACCCTGTGTGTGTACAAATTGTTGATTAAGTTGGGAAGCACTGTGTGAGTGCTCAAATGAGTTTTGGTGGAAAACACCAAGTGGTCGAGGAGGTGGGGGCAGATATTGTTGCTGTGGTGGTGGTGGAATCGGGCGACCGAAAGAGGCTGGTGGTGGTGGTAGTGGTGGTAAGTACTGTGGCGCTGGTGGCACTGGTGGACCTAATTGCAGAGCTGCTGACGGTGGTGGTGGAGGCGGTGGTCCGTACTGATTCAAGTTACCGTGTTGCGCCTGCAATGGTGGTAAATAATTGAGTTGTGGTGTGAATTGTGGTGTGAATTGTGGTGTGAATTGTGGTGTAAGTTGTGGATTAATTTGTTGTTGTGGTAAGAGTGCTGGTTGATTTACCTGTACAAAGACCTGAGCAGATTGAGGTTGTGGTAGCTGTTGTTCAACTATGATTTGAGGATGTGGTTGAGGTTGTGGTTGTGGCAAAGGTGCTGGTAGAGGAACACCATAACCAGGACTGAGATTGCCTGGACCGCTGCTAGCAATTTCATTTGCTGCCGGTGGTATATAAGTTTGTGGTTGCTCAGCTGGCTTGACACCGAATTGGTCTAAGTGCTGTACTGTTGCGCCAATCGATTCGAGTAGGCCTTGTGGAACTGGTGGACGGAAGGCAACGGGCTTACTAGGTGGTGCGCCACCATGCGCGGGGAATGTATGTACGCTACCTGATTGCTGACCGTAGTGTATACCGGCTGATTGTGCTGCGCCATGGTGATGATGAACGAATGCAGCTGGAGAAGATGGCGGTGGTGGTCCATAATTGCCACTTGGAGGAGCTACGCCAATGCTAGCATGTGCAGTGCTAAATGAGTTGAATTTTTGTGCATGTACGGAGCCAGGTGCAAATGAATCAAGTGGTGGTTTTGAATAACTATCACCAATATCACTAACTGCGATCTAGTAACAAAAAAAGTAATGCAATTAAAACTGTGGAGGGTTCATGTAAATAATGCTTACCTGTAATCCTTCAGATTCGAGTGAGTTTGTGTTTATATGGGCGGGACCAGTAGCTGGTAATGTATGTCCATCGAGACCATCTGATTGTAGCGCAACAGCGACTAATTGCTCATCAGTTAAACCATCAATTATGCTACCACCGGAATGTCCACCATTGTATTGTGTACCAAAACCACCAGCACCTGTAGCACCTATGCCCTGTGCTACTTGGCTATAACCACCTTGTGTTTCGATATTGTTATGTTCAACATAAGCGCCAACAGGTGCAGGTATTGGTTTCCAGCCATCACAAGCGGTATGGAAAGGTGCTTGTGAGCCGCTAACGCTGTGGGTATGACCAGATGCATCAATTTGTATTTGTACTTGCTTGGAAGGCCCATTGTGGTGATTGCCATGTCCATTGGTAAGTATGATTGTGGTTTCAGGTACACGATTAAAGGATGGTGGATGGGAACCAGGTAGGCTTTGTGGTAATGGTGGTGGACCATAGTTAGGGGCAGGTGGCCCATACACTTGTTTTGGTGGTAAGTTTAGAGGACCTGATGGTGGTGGACCATAGGAAGAGGCTGGATGATGAGCTGGATTAAAAATAGGGGCAGGATGGGATGATGGTAATTGCGGTGGTGGACCGTAAACAGGTTTTGGTTGTGGGGGGAGTTGTGGTGGTGGTCCATAGTTTGGTGCAGGTCTATGCTGTTGAGGTGGTGGACCATATACTGGTGCTGGTTTTGGTGGTGGTCCATATTGTGGTTGTGGTACTGGTGGTGGGCCGTAAGAACCAGCTGGCTTATGTTGTATATGTGGTGGACCATAGAATGGCTTTGGTACACCAAAATGTGACTTAATTTGTTCATGCAGACCACCGCCGAAATTGTTACCACCACCGCCGCCACCGCCTATGAAATTTAATTTTGGCGGTCCGTATTTGATAGCTGGTGGGCCATATTCACGGAATGGAATTTTTTGTGGTACACCATATTCACGATGTGGTATATGTGCGGGTGGTGGGCCGTACTGTGGTGCAGGACGGGGTGGTGGCCCATATGAGTCGAAAGCTTCACGACGCTTAAATTCTTTATTAAGTACTGCTTGTGTCACTGATGCCAGCGCCACAATTATCAACAGGGTACGTAATATCATCTGCAAGAACAAGAAAAAAATCAGAAATTAGGTGAGGTTTTTTACAAGTGAATTTGTGGATGTATTTGGTACGTGCTTATAGCTATATTAGTTTCTACACCTGAGTGCTAAGCAGTTTACTTTATTGCTTTGTAATAAACAGACGACTTGTTTTCTTCCTATTGATACGCAATGGTAAGGTGAGCTATCTTACCTTAAGGTAAAATTTGGGGCGTAGAATAGCTTGATAGCTGTAGTACTATTGGTGGTATCAGCTGAGGACTTGCAGTTCAATATTGACAGTCATGAGACGGGGCGTATGTGAAGAATTTTTACTGTTTAACTCGTATGTTAGATACAGCATTATTAGCATTCAAAGTGCGCGCGTTTGAAGCGCTGCATTGGGTGCTTAAGAAATGTTGTGTTGGGAAAATACTTTTTCTGCGCTACTATTGGCGTCAATTGAAGAAAATTTAATTCTATTCAAGTGTTTTATTAAATTTTTAGTTCACTAAAGGACAGGAAATAATATTGAATTTGTTTTGTGCTCAAAAAATAGGAGTATTTTTTATTGGTTCTAATAAGAAGAAATTTAATAATTATTTATCTGAAGATTTCAATAAAATATTTGCTATAAAAGATTTTATTTGACTATAAAAGTTGTACAAATTATTCGGCTTATTAATTAATTTTTCTATATTAACTTCCATATTTAATTTTCCATTATTTTCTTACATCAAAAATGTGTAAATGAAAAAGATATTGTATCGATTTGTAAAGACTTCTGCTTTATTGCGATTTTAATGCAATTTTCTATTATATTTGACACTTTTGCTTACGTCTTGAGAGATTGGTTCGCACCATATGTCAATTATTTTGACTGAAAATGAGTTGGCAGCAGTTGCTACTGATGGCTTCACAGCACAATGGCTAGCATTGCGAGGCTGTGGGTACCTCGGCCATTGTCAAGTTAATGAAAAGTGAGAGTTCGTTAATTATATCTTTTGGATGGTTATTAAAATAAAATTTGCCTTAAAGAATAGGCATAAAATTATGTAATATCGCCGAGTGTACTGACCGTAAATGTTGTTTACTTTGCTTTTCTTTTTACCATCACAATAATGTGAATGCGAATGTAATAATAATATGGCCCGTATGGATCAGCATTTCTTTTATTACATGAACGCAATTATTTTTATATTTGTTGTATAATAAATTTCACGAGGGTGAAGGGAATACAAAAGTTTTTAGTTACGAATTAAGTTAACAATAATAAAAGTTGAAAAACTATATATGGAAGCACTTCCAGGCATTTATTAAGAAAATTGTTCAATTTGTTAATACAGAAGTAAGTACACTTATTTAAGATCAGTATATTTGAATTAAATCTTGAGTTATATATATACGCTTTATCGGAAAAAAACACAAGATTTAATATAATCTTAATCTGACATTAAAACTTAATTACTGAATGGTTCCACTAGTTTATATTATAAGTATGTTTATATTAATATATATACTACAACTATAACTGAACGAAAATTTTTTAACTTGAATAGTTTGAACAATAATTCAACTTGGGAAAATTAATTAAAACTGAAACTGGGCCCACTATAGATAGTTTATATTTTGAATATTTTAGTATGAGTATATATATTACATCTATAAATAAAAATAAATTCTTGATTTTGAATATTTTGTATAGAATATATTCAACTTGTGAATATCTGTAAATATTTTATATATCATAAATTTTTCTGAGCAAAATAGGCTGGAGTGGATCATCACTTATTCAATCGCTCTATCCCTTATACTCATCGCTCTATCCCTTATACTCAACGCTCTAACTCTTATACTCATCGTTTCTATTCTTCAATCTTATATGTATATATGTTGAGGTTAGTTGAGTTGAGTCAGTGCACCTGAGCACTTTTACTCTCTATTAACTGCGTGGTTTCTACAAAACCCCTCTTTGCGCCTTGACTGAATTATTTTTATCACTTCATTAGACTAGGCAATAATTGACCTCAGATCTGCATATCTCCCCGAGGAGCCAGTAACCATTCTGAGATTTGATAACGCGGTGTTAGTAAGTCTGTCAGATTTCGCAAATAATTCCAATCTTATATTCTTACTAGTCTTTATCACTGTATATCGTATTAAATTAACTCAATTTTTGGTTATCCTCTCGTTCGTTGATTGGTATTCTAATAAAATCTTATCTAACGATCTCATCAATAAGTATTTTACTAAGTGTATATAGGGTTTATAGTTTTTTAACGTGATTAACTGCCATTAAGGTTTGTAATGATAAACGCTTCTATTGGAAATTCCAAAAAATTCTTCCGTACCAATTGAAGCTACACCTATATAGCATCATGTGTCTATATGCAGTTAACATACAGTGTTGTGCATAACAAAAGCAACCAAAATTTGCCCATCAAATAAATAAGTTTTTTGTCTACTTTTTACTTTTCATTCAAAAATCTAAATACACAGTTTTATTTGTTATTGTATTAGCTATTATAAAAAAACAACAAAATCTACAATTCTTCATAACGGGTTAATTAATTCACACAAATAATAATATATTGTGAAATGCGGCTGTGCAGAACAATAGCAACTTTATTTATTATATTAAATTTTTGTATTATTTTTCTAAATTTTGTATACAGCCCTTTGCTTTTTATTACTTGGGCACTTTTACGGGTCATAGGTGATATTAAATTGTTAATAGAACTGTTTGGAATTTTACACCATTCATCTTTCATGACCTTAAACAATTGGAAACTTTTCGATCCCCAAAGCGACGTTTGAGAATACCAAAATGTTCTCAATTGAATTAAAATCAGGTGTTTGGGCTGGCTAATCTAAAATTGGAATTCCATTTTTCAAAATCCATTCTCTTATCAGCTTGTGTATTGGGTCGTTATCGTACTGATATACCCGTCGGAGTGACATTTTTCATCCGCCATGGGGTACCATATGGCTCTCTAAAATTTTTTTGTACACATGTTGGGGTATTATTTGATGAATTTCATGAAAAGATCTAAGTCTAAATCCTGAAAAGAACACTCAAATTATTACTGACCCACGCCCATGCTTCACAGTCGCTTGGCAGTTACGCGGATAGAAACGTTTTTCTTTTTCGCGACGTACTGTGCACATCCCATCAGAATTAAAGATGTTAAATTTTGATTTATTGCTGAAAAAAATTATTTTCCATTTAGTAAGAGTCCAATTTAAGTGATTCCACGCGAAATTTGATCTAAATGAAGTATATTAATATTAATTAAAAAGCAAAACAAAAATCTGCCTCTTTTGCTAATGCTTTTTAGTCAACATTGGTTTTTTGACTGGTCTGTAACTTTTGAAACCGGCTTCGAGAGTAAGCCTGCGTACAGTACTAGAGTCAACACCTTGTTTAAGCTCGGCTACGACCTTTTTCAACGACACGAATGGTTGTTTTTTTTGTAATTCTTATGATGTTTCGATCAATTCTACAAGTAATCTTAAGAGAGGCTTCACCCAAATAAACCGTTTTAACGGTATTTTGTCTAATTATATTTTTTTATAAGCTGCGAAACAATAAACTAATTAATTTTAAATATTTTGGCTATTTCATTTGAGCACTGCCATTTAAATATTTTTCAATTCTTGCTTCTTTAAACTTCAAAGTATACGTGTCACGAGCCATGAAAAAAACGTACTTCCATTACCTGATTTAATATTGAACTATTCTGTGTTTATGTTCTAATTTGCTTAAAAACATAAATCACAGCATAAAAATGCAAAAAATCAAAAAAATATCTTGCTAGAATGCACTTTGGTCATAGATCTATCATTGATCTTGTCTCAGTTGCTATTGTTTTGCACAGCCGCATTTCGCAATATTTTATTATTTGTGTGAATTAATTAATCTGTTATGAAGAATTGTAGATTTTGTTGTTTTTTTATAATAGCTAATACAATAACAAATAAAACTGTGTATTTAGATTTTTGAATGAAAAGTAAAAAGTAGACAAAAAACTTATTTATTTGATGGGCACATTTTGGTTGCTTTTGTTATGCACAACACTGTATATATACAACACAACAACAAAACTAGGTTTTAGATCAGTGGCGTAACTACATTTTTTAGGCCTGTAAGCAAATTCTAACTAAGGGGCCCCTATCAACATACTAAGGGGCCCCTATCAACATACTAAGGGGCCCCTCTTTTTATACTCTTTACACGAAAAATGTGAAAAGGGTATATAAGGTTTGTCAAGATTTTCGTGACACATTAAAGAAAACGTCGGAAATACCATTAAGTATATATCAGTACAGTATATATATACTTTTTCAGTTCAAACTACTCTCTCAGCTTTTGAACTCTTCGAATGAAACTTTGCACACATACTTTTAGCCGACCCTATTCACCATTTGATTTGATTGAAATTGGACGTCTTGTAGCTGTGATATAAACTTAACAATCGGATATGAGGTTTCTCCGTTTTTAATAAAGGTGTTTAAATAGAATTTGGTGTATACAGTACTGATATTTGCAAAAGACAACGTACAAAATTATTTTCAAATGGGTTTAAATCTAGATATAGTATGTGTCTCTCGATTAAGACACATACTTTTCTTAGAAAAACTTTTTTATTTTATATTTAGGTTTAATATTTTATTTGAAGTACATACATATTATATGTACTTTAAATTTAAAACTTACGTATCTTTTATAAAATGCAATATGAAGTTATTCCAACAAAAAACGTTTACAAACATTTATAGTGGGGCCCCCTAAATTCGGGGGCCCGAAAGCGTTGCTTCCAGTTGCTTCCCTGTAGTTACGCCACTGTTTTAGATGATATAGAAAAATGCATTATCTATCATATCTTTCAGGGTTGCCATCACTAAGGCTAAATATTTTTTTTATTTTTTGTTATATTTTGAAATAATATAAGAAATTTAAATTAAGATATATGAATATACAATATTTAATATTCAGCCAGACATATATGTAAATAGTATTT